TTGTACAATTTGTTCAGGAATTTGTTTAAATTTTCCAAGAAATAATTAAAATCACCAGTTGGGGCCCTATAAATACATATTATGTACATACTTAGTGAATTTACTTGAACACCACACATTTCTAGATCTTTCTCTTTACATGTAACAATATCATTTATATGTGTAAATTGTATATTCATTTGGACAAAGATACATACACCTTCTTGCTTAAAATTTTTCCTACAGCATTTGCTAGCTAATACATATTGGTTCAGAGTAATGCTGTTTATTTCAAACTCTTTTAAATGATGCTCTGATAAACAAATTACATGCGGTAGCTCAGAAGTAAATGCTAATATTAATTCATCTGTTTTATTATTGATACCCCTTATATTTTGGTGGTAAATTATGAAATTATTTTGATTCATTACATTACAATTATTTGACTTAAAGTTGCCTTTATCACACTATTCTAGATTTATATTTCCCATAAAAAATCTTTATTTCTTACCACTGATACTTTTTTATTACGTGTAGATTGTCTACTACCTTTACTATCTGGAATCAGGTTCTGTAGTGGATTTCCACTCATTGTACTTGGTATCTCTTTATCTTTGCTATTTGTATCTATTATATTATTCCCTAATTTACATTTATTTAAGTTAGTGCTCACTGCTTCTTTGCATCTTACTGTTGACATTTGTTGTTTCTTAGAGGCCTCCCCACCTACAACACCTTCATATGTTCACTTGAGGACTAAAGCCACGGAGTTTGAGTGTAATTCAGTATGATCTCCAGATTTTTTACTTTAATGGCATAGTAATGATAGTTACATGAACTGCTGCTGATGGTATATAAAGTCCCCATTTAATTTGCAGTAAGTTTGGAACTGTAACTGCACTCTTCTAAAGATAAAAATGAAAAAGAAATCATTTAGTTTTACATATTCTAGGTTTTTCAAAGGCTACAAAGCCTTCAAACATCAAGAAGAAATAGTATGTAGTAAGTTTTATTATTTGATTCTTTCCCTGGTGGTAAGGCGGCTGGGGCGTGAAGCTGACCACTCACCTCCTACTAGTGTCAAAGTCAAGAAAACGTGGGTCTATACATCCACTCCGCCATACATATTCATGGTGCACTGCTCAATTAGTTAAGAACAGGGTCAACTTTACCTTTACATTACCTTTATTATTTGATTGTCATTACAGTTCAGATTGATTCTTCTGATATACCAAAATTGTATGGAGCTAGGATATCAGTTCCAGAGATTTCAAATGAAATGTGGTTATTGCTACCTTGGCTGATTGTGCTTGAAAATGTTTGTTCCTGTATGTATTTGGTATGATAAATTGTGTGTTAGAAGTATGATTTTAACAATTCTGTAAATAAGTGTATGAAGATATGAATAGATTACAACTGGAACATTTAAAATGTATTTATGTTGTAAGACTTTGACTTCCGTTTCACTGGAACATCTTCCTGTATGATATATATATATATATGTATATACATTCCATAAATGTAAATAAAATTAATCACAGGAGATTAACAATGGTACATTAGATGGTAGTGACCACAATAAAAGCAAGTTTATGTCAGCTGGATAACTGGAATGGAGGAGCAGAAGACATACTGAAAAATCTGTTAAAATATTCCCATGTTTCCAGTTTGT